CTATAGCCTTGTAATATAGTTTGAAGTCTGGTAGTGTGATGCCTCCTGCTTTGTTCTTTTTGCTTAGAATTGGCTTGGCTATGTGGGTTCTCTTTTGGTTCCATATGAAGTTTAAGGTGTTTTTTTTCCAGTTCTGTGAAGAAGGTCATTGGTAATTTGATGGGGATAGCATTGAATCTGTAAATTACTTTGGGCAGTATGGCCATTTTCACGATATTGATTCTTCCTAACCATGAACATGGAATGTTTCTCCATCTGTTTGTGTCCTCTCTGATTTCGTTGAGCAGTGGCTTGTAGTTCTCCTTGAAGAGGTCATTTGCATCCTTTGTTAGTTGTATTCCTAGGTATTTTATTCTCTTTGTAGCAATTGTGAATGGCAATATGTTCTTGATTTGGCTCTCTTTAAGTCTGTTATTGGTGTATTGATTTTTGCACATTGATTTTGTATCCTGAGACTTTGCTGAAGTTGCTTATCAGTTTCAGGAGCTTTTGGGCTCAGACAATGGGGTCTTTTAGATATACAATCATGTCATCTGCAAATACAGACGATTTGACTTCCTCCTTTCCTAATTGAATACGCTTTATTTCTTTTTCTTGCCTGATTTCTCTGGCTAGAACTTCCAGTACTATATTGAATAGGAGTGGTGAGAGAGGGCATCCTTGTCTAGTTCCAGATTTCAAAGGGAATGCTTCCAGTTTTTGCCCATTCAGCATGATATTGGCTGTTGGTTTGTCATAAATACCTTTTATTATTTTGAGATACGTTCCGTCAATACCTAGTTTATTGAGGGTTTTTAGCACAAAGGGCTGTTGAATTTTGTCAAAGGCCTTCTCTGCATCAATTGAGATAATCATGTGGTTTTTGTCTTTGGTTCTGTTTATGTGGTGAATTACGTTTATGGACTTGCATATGTTGAACCAGCCTTGCATCCCCGGGATGAATCCGACTTGATCATGGTGGGTAAGCTTTTTGATGTGCTGTTGCAATCAGCTTTCCAATATTTTATTGAAGATTTTTGCATCTATGTTCATCATGGATATTGGCCTAAAGTTTTCTTCTCATGTTGAGTCTCTGCCGGGTTTTGGTATCAGGATGATGTTGGTCTCATAAAATGATTCGGGAAGGATTCCCTCTTTTTGGATTATTTTGAATAGTTTCAGAAGGTATGGTACCAGATTCTCATTGTATGTCTGGTAGAATTCAGCTGTGAACCCGTCTGGACCTGGGCTTTTTTGGGGTGGTAGGCTCTTAATTGCTGCCTCAACTTCAGACCTTGTTATTGGTCTATTCAGAGTTTCAACTTCTTCCTGGTTTAGATTTGGGAGGAGGCAAGTGTCCAGGAATTTATCCATTTCTTCCAGGTTTACTAGTTTATGTGCATAGAGTTGTTTGTAATCATCTCTGATGATGGTTTGAATTTCTGTAGAATCTATGGTGATATCCTCTTTATTATTTTTTATTGCATCAATTTGGTTATTCTCTCTTTTCTTTTTTATTAATCTGGCTAGTGGTCTGTCTATTTTGTTGATCTTTTCAAAAAACCAGCTCCTGGATTTATTGATTTTTTGAAGGGTTTTTTTGTGTCTCTATCTCCTGCAGTTCTGCTCTGATCTTAGTTATTTCTTGTCTTCTGCTTGGCTTTGAGTTTTTTTGATCTTGCTCCTCTAGGTCTTTCAGTTTTGATTCTAGGGTGTCAATTTTAGATCTCTCCTTGCTTCTCATGTGGGCACTTATTGCTATATATTTTCCCTTAGAGACTGCTTTAAATGTGTCCCAGAGATTCTGGTATGTTGTATGTTCATTCTCGTTGGTTTCGAAGAACATCTTTATTTCTGCCTTCATTTCATTGTTTAGCCAGTCAACATTCAAGAGCCAGCTGTTCAGTTTCCATGGAGCTGTGCAGTTTTGAGTTAGTTTCTGCCTTCTGAGTTCTAACTCTATTGCACTGTGGTCTGAGAGACTGTTTGTTATGATTTCCGTTCTTTTGCATTTGCTGAGGAGTGATTTATTGCCAATTATGTGGTCAGTTTTAGAGTATGTGTGATGTGGTGCTGAGAAGAATGTATATTCTGTGGATTTGGGGGTGGAGAGTTCTGTAAATGTCTATTAGGTTTGCTTGTTCCAGGTCTGAGTTCAAGTCCTGCATATCCTTGTTAATTTTCTGTGTGGTTGATCTGTCTAATATTGACAATGGGGTGTTAAAGTCTCCTACTATTATTGTGTGGGAGTCTAAGTCTTCTTCTAAGTCATTAAGGACTTGCCTTATGTATCTGGGTGCTCCTGTATTGGGTGCGTATATATTTAGGATCATTAGCTCTTCTTGTTGCATTGATCCTTTTACCATTATGTAATATCCTTCTTTGTCTCTTTTAATCTTTGTTGCTTTAAAGTGTATTTTATCAGAGACGAGAATTGCAACTCCTGATTTTTTTTTGCTCCCTATTTGCTTGGTAAATCTTCCTCCATCCCTTTATTTTGAGCCTTTGTGCATCCTTGCATGTGAGATTGGTTTCCTGGTACTGCACACTGATGGGTTTTGGCTTTTTATCCAATTTGCCGGTCCGTGTCTTTTGATTGGGGCATTTAGTCCATTTACATTTAGGGTTAATATTGTTATGTGTGAATTTGATACTGCCATTTTGATGCCAGCTGGCTGTTTTGCCCGTTAGTTGATGCAGGAGCTCTTGTAAAGCAGGCCTGGTGATGATAAAGTCTCTGAGTACTTGCTTGTTCACAAAGGATTTTATTTTTCCTTCACTTATGAAGCTTAGTTTGGCTGGGTATGAGATTCTGGGTTGAAAGTTCTTTTCTTTAAGGTTGTTTAATATTGGCCCCCACTCTCTTCTGGCTTGTAGGGTTTCTGCTGAGAGATCTGCTGTGAGTCTAACAGGCTTCTCTTTGTGGGTAACCCGACCTTTCTCTCTGGCTGCCCTTAGCATTTTCTCCTTCATTTCAACCCTGGTGAATCTGATGATTTTGTGCCTTGGGGTTGCTCTTCTTGAGGAATATCTTTGTAGTGTTCTCTGTATTTCCTGTACTTGAATATTGGCCTGCCTTGCTAGGTTGGGGAAGTTTTCCTGGATAGTATCCTGAAGTGTATTTTCCAGCTTGGATTCATTCTCTTCATCACATTCAGGTACACCTATCAAACGTAAATTAGGTCTTTTCACATAGTCCCACATTTCTTGGAGACTTTATTCATTCCTTTTTACCCTTTTTTCTCTAATCTTACCTTCTTGTTTTATTTCATTAGGTTGATCTTCGACCTCTGATGTCGTTTCTTCTGCTTGGTCAATTCAGCTGTTGAAACTTGTGCATGATTTGCGAAGTTATCTTGTTTTTCAGCTCCATCAATGCACTTATATTTCTATGTTGTCCATCTCTTTAGCATTTCATCAAATCTTTTTTCAATGTTCTTAGTTTCTTTGCATTGGGTTAGAACATGTTCTTTTAGCTCTCAGAAGTTTCTTATTACCCACCTTCTGAGTCTGATTCTTTCATTTCATCACACTCATTCTCCATCCAGCCTTGTTCCCTTGCTGGTGAGGAGTTGTGATCCCTTGTAGGAAGACAGTTGTTTTGGTTTCGGGTTTTCGTCCTTTTTGCGCTGGTTTCTTCCCATCTTTGTGGATTTATCCACCTGTTGTCTTTGTAGTTGCTGACTTTCGGATTGGGTCTCTAAATGAACTTCCAGTTTGTGGATGATGAAGTTATTTCTGTTTTTTAGTTTTCCTTCTAACAGTCTGGCCCCTCTGCTGTAGGACTGCTGAGGTCCACTCCAGGCCCTGCTTGCCTGGGGATCACCTGCAGCAGCTGCAGAACAGTAAGGGTTGCTACCGGTTTCTTCATCTGTTATCTTCGTCCCAGAAGGATATCTGCCAAATGTCAGTCTGTTCTCTCCTTTATGAGGTGACTCTTTGGATATACAGGGGTCAGGGAGCTGCTTGACCATACAGTCTATCCTTTATTGGAGCTCCAGTGCTGATCTGTGAGTTCCGTTGTTCATTCAGAGTTGCTGGGCAGTTATGTTTAGGTCTGCTGCAGCAGAACTCATAACCTCCCTTTTTTTCCCCCAGGTGCTCTGTCCCAGGGAGTTAGGGCTTTATTTATGAGTTTCCATTGTGCTGCTACCTTTTTTTTTTTCTTTCAGGGCTGCCCTGCCCAGCAAAGAGGCAGCCCAGTCAGTGTCTGCCTGCAGAGGCTTTGGTGAGCTGCTGTGGGCTCCGCCCAGCTGCCATGTGATCTTCTCTGCGGTCCTGTTTATATGGGTGTAGTTAGAACTGCCTCGGCAATGGTGGACCGCCTCTGTAATTGCAGGCTCTCTCTGTAGTGGCAGGTTGCCTTGACAACAGGGCGTTGCTTCAGCAACAGTGGGCTGCCTCAGTGATGGCGGACTGTCTCCGTAGTGGTGGAGTGCCTCAGTAATGGCAGACGCCCCTCCCCCACAGAGCTGGACTGTCCTGGGTTCAGCTGTGCTGCTTGCTGTGAAACTCTCAACCCAGGCATTTTCAGTTACTGTTTTTCTGTGTGGGGGTGGGTGGGACCAGCCAAGCCTGATCACCTGGCTCCCTGACTCAGAGTCTTTTTGTTTTTTTTTAGTTGAGCGGTTGACTCTCTCCCAGGTGTTCCAGTCGCCTGTTAAGTAGGGACCGGGATCTATGTGATTTCCCGTGCAGCGACTCACTGTGCCAGCTGAAACAGCAGCACTGAGATTTCTGGTGGTTTTTTTTGCCCAGGAATCTCCTGGCCTGGCTCCCTGTTTCAGTCCTCTTTTAAATCTGATGAATGGGTGATCTGCCTTCCCGGGGCTCCAATCGTCAGCTAAGGGGGCACCTGGACCAGTGTAGTTTGTACGGAGAACTGCCATGCCAGAATGCCAGCAAAGCAGCTGCATGGGCCAAAACAGCCACACTGGCGACCCGTGGGGCTCCCCTGCCTAGGTATCTCCTGGTCTGTGGGCAATAAAAATTTATTTGGAAATGTGGCATCCACTCATCCACTGCACTTTCACTAGGAGCTGCAATCCTGAGCTATTCCTAGTCAGCCATCTTCCTGAGATTCCCCTCCCCATGCTATTAATTTGTTAAAGGCCTTGGTGTTATACAGTATTGAAAAACTGCCAGTGCCATCTGCCTATGGCCTTCTCAAGTCTGTCTGCCCTTGTGGTTATCCTGAGTTTAAACCCAGGGAGACTGAGGCTAGAAGAGGCAGACAGCTTTCATGTGTTCTTCTGTTCAATGCAAAAAACATTTGGAACTCTGAGTCCTAACCTTAAACTCAAGACCTCACCTGCAGGCATTCCACATCCTTTTAACTCCTCAGTGATGTAAACAACAAACCTCACCCAGCTCCTGGGGCACAGGGTCTTCACTCCCAGGCAAGCTTGTCCCAGATTTGCAGGGAGTCTGCCTCCCTAGACCTTTTGGCCAGAACCCCACGTGGGAATCTTGCAGGTGTGCTCTACCCAGCTCCCCATTTGGTACTGGAATCTGGTCTGTGTCACAACCTGGGGAGGGCATCTGTACCCAGCCACCCTCTGACTTCTCTGTTTTCACAGATTGGCCATCTGCAAGCTTCCCTTCTCCATGAAGAGCAGGAATATAGCCATGGAATCCCAGGGAGCCAAGACAGAGGTGAGACTTCCCAGAACTGTCCTCCTTGCTATCACAGGACGGGCCCATTTCCTTCTGGCCCTAGCAGTCACATTGTTAGCACAAGACCAAGGTTAGCACTGCTCCTGGGGAGTGATCTGTCTTTCCTGACATCTTCCAGCAGGTGACTGGCCTGTGGGTATCATTCATCAATCAGTGATCTGTGCACAACACCCAGGGAGCATTTACAGCAAAAAACAGAGATGTTCACACTAAAGTGTCAGTGATGATGTTGAGTTGGTGTCAATGAAGGGTAGGGCAGAGAGAGAGGTCACAAAGGCCTTCAGTGAGAGGGGCTCACTGGGCAGCTGTGAGGGATGTGGTAAGTACAGGAGGTAGGGAAGAGGCAGAAGTGTGCTCAGTCTCAGGCTGCCACTGGGCAGACTGCTCAACCGCAAGGGAGACAGGGTTTAGCAGCCAATATCCTCACAGACTGGTGGTGGATGAATCCAAGTCCTAGGAGAAGCAGATGCCAAGATGCAGTGAGACGGGCTGGGCTTACACAGGAAACACCTGCAAGAGAGAAAAGGACGCCTGGAGCCTCATCAGACTTCAGTGAGGAGGAGGGGGAGAAAACTGTGGAATCATCAGAGACCAAGTACAGCTCCCAGAGGTTTGGCCAGGGCAGCAGTCTTCAGGCCATAGTGGGCCATCAGAGGAGCACCTGGATTGAAACGGGCTTGCCTCAGTATCCTCATGATGTGTGGCCACTGACTGAAACAGCTGCAAGAAAAACGGCCTACATACGGTTGCAGGAGTGGGCTGTGGTCCCTTAGGCTCCCAACTCAGAAGTCTGTCACGTGCTGGCTTGGGGTGGCCACAGCTGATCACACCATGTTCTGGTGAAGGCGCAGAGTCACTTGGGGCACCTGAATATCCCTGGTTTGCCAGACAGCATCAACATGGTTAGATGGGCTTTCAGCTTACCTAACTGGGAGATTGCACCTACAGCCCTGGGTCTGCTGCATCTCTGAAGAGTAGTCACTGCCCTGTACTGAGCCTGCATTGTCAGCTGGCCACAGATGCCCAAGCTCACCAAGGTCCTTACGGTTTGACAGTGTAGTACTGCCACCTCCCACAGCTCTGCCACTTCCTGCAGACCCCTCACAGTGTGGCCTAAACTGCTGAGATAGCTCCCACCTACCTCTCTCATTGGCGCCTATCATCTGACTGTTCCTGAAAGTTTCTGTGCTGGCTACCTCTGACCCTCTTGAGGTTGGAGGCCTGGATGCCAGCCTGAGGAGCCCAACTTGATCTTCAAGCTGTTTGGGGTTTTCTTGGTTTTTCTTTTGCTTTTTGGGGTGGGGAGTGTTTGGGGATGGTGGTCAGAGTCTCACTGTTGCCCAAGCTGAGTGTAGTGCCACAATAATAGCTCACTGCCGCCTTGACCTCCCAGATTCAAACAGTCCTCACATCTCAGCCTCCCAACTAGCTGGGACTACAGGCACCGGCCACCATGCTTGGCTAATTTTTTATTTTGTGCATGTGTGGAGTTGGGGGTCTTGCTATGCTGCCCAGGTTGATCTCCAAGTCCTGGATGCAAGCATTCCTGCATCAGCCTCCCAAAGTGCTGGCATTACAAGCATGAGCTACCATGCCCAGCCTGCCTGGATTTTGAGGATCTTTGCAGTAAGTATGACATGAAAGATCAGTGATGGGGGAAATAGAGATGGACAGTTAAGGGTCAGAGGAGAGGCTTTCTGACTCATGAGTCTAGTAGTCCTGATGAGCTTCACAAATGGAATATTATTTATTTATTTATTTATTTATTTTTGAGACAGAGTCTAACTCTGTCACCCAGGCTGGAGTACAGTGGCACAATCTCAGCTCCTGCAACCTCCACCTCCCAAGTTCAAGTGATTTTCCTGCCTCAGCCTCCTAAGTAGCTGTGATTACAGGCATGTACCACCACACCCAGCTAATTTTTGTATTTTTAGTAGAGACAGGGTTTCACTACATTGGCCAGGCTGATCTTGAACTCCTGACTTCAAATGATCTGCCCACCTCTGCCTCCCAAAGTGCTGGGATTACAGGAGCAAGCCACTGCAATTGGCCATGAATGGAATTTAAATTCATCAAGCACCTACAGATATGCCAGACTAGTCATGTGTATAGTTGCAGAACAGATGTACTGTGAGAAGGGCTCTTTCAAAAGTGCTCCATCCACTAATTCAGATGTGCTCAGACTGCCCTATAAGGCATTGGATTTTTGGTAGAAATCAGATCTAGGCTGGATCTGAATTCTGTGATCCTGCAGTGGAGATTTACATGTTCCAGGGCAGGTCCCAAATGATCGATTTTCATTTTGTCAGAAGATCCATGAGAGCTGTATCTTCCTCATTTATAAATTCATGGAGTTCTAACTCAGAAGATGGCCCAGGGTACCATAAAACTTTAGTAGTATGTTATTTACTGTTCATATGTTTGTAGGAAACATTGTCATTTAATTTTTGAGTTTTTCTCTTCTCCCTGCCTAGGTTTAAAGCTCCATGCAGGTTTGAATTCTGTGCTTCTAGGAAGCCCCATGAAAAGTACCTAGTACCATAAATACTGGGGCAAGGCAGAGATGGAGGCCTTGGAACTCCAGGCACAGGTGGCAGATCCTGGAACCCTACAGTTGCCTGAGTGCATTGCTGTCCCTGGTGAGCAGGCCTGGGTTTTGTGTTACAGTCTTTCATGGCATTTGGGGATGTGACTGTGGATTTCACCCAGAAGGAATGGAGGCTGCTGAGCCCTACTCAGAGGGCCCTGTACAAGGAGGTGACACTGGAGAACTACAGCCACCTGATCTCACTAGGTAAGTGTGGCTTCCCCTAGGTTTAACATTTGGCTTGTGGTGCCTCTGATGTTGCCATAGGGTTAGTTTCAGAGACAAGGACGTTGTTTTCTCTATTCTCCTGGGGAGGGTCTGGCTTTGGTAGTTTCATACAGGCTGCCACTGGGCACCTGCAGGCTTCTCTCCCCATGCTGGGGCTCTCCTGGGGGCTTGTATCTAAGCATGGTAGACAGGATCCTCCTGAACTTTCCCCCTCTGAGACTCACTCCCTTCCTGCCCTGAGTAGCTCCAGCAAGTGGCCCTTGGAGCCTACAACCAGGAATCACCTCATGGTTTTTTTCCCTGTGAGCAGGAATTCTCCATTCTAAACCAGAACTCATCAGGCGGCTAGAGCAAGGGGAAGCACCCTGGGGAGAAGAGAGAAGATGCCAGCCGGGCCCCCATGCAGGTGAGGGGAAGGACAAGGTAGACAGCACAGACACAGTCTTTCGGGAGGGAGGAGGTTTCTCTGAGGCCAGGGTACCTGGAAGCTGTTCTGGCCTCCTTGGCTGCTCTTCAGACCACCTGGCCCTGCCTTCCTTCCAGTCCTTGCTGAGTGAGAGGTTCTCCTGGGGTCCCTGGACTCCTCCCAGGAAGCCTCCTTCCCCCCATTTGCTAAGCTTCTTTCTCCCACTCAGTCTCCCCATTTGTGACTTTCCTCGTGATCACCTAACTGCAAGCCTAAGTCTATTGCTCCTTCCTAATACTGTCTGGGTAGTCTTAAAACCTTTGTCCATTATTCTCCTTCTTCAATTCCCATAGCTGTTTTACTTCTGGTTTAATGTTATAAGCAGTACTACTCTTGCCAAAGGTCACTTCATCTTCCTCCTTCCCCCATTTCCTCCAGATGTACTGCCTGAGTGGGGCTGTGGTCTAGAATTGTGTACCCTCTTAAGTCCTGGTAGTCACTGCTGTGGTTCATCAGGACTCATGATGATGATGATGATGATGATGATTCTTACCTCTAGGGTAGACTTGTTCTCTCTTGGAGCAGTTTTAGTTCATAGTTAGGCCTTGGGTTCCTCTCTTCTCTTTTCATGCTATTTTGCAGGCTTCCCTCACTCATCACAGTGGGACCACAGAAGACTACTGAAAAGTGGTGTTAAGTTTTCTGCTTATGACAATGATAAACTTGTAGTTTTCTCTATCTTGCTATGTGTCAGTTTCAGGAGTCATCTGTTTCTATTGATTTTTATATCCTATTTGGAAAATGTATAGACAGATTTTGATTACTCAGCTGCAGTTCTCCTTCAGTAACTGGAAGTTTCTTTTATGTCTTGTTTAAGAAATCCTTCCTAGCTTGAACTTGCAAGGCAGAGATTGCAGTGAGCCAAGATTGTGCCACTGCACTCCAGCCTGGCAACAGAGTGAGACTCCATCTCCAAAAAAAAAAAAAAAAAAAAAAGAAATCGTTCCTAGGCCAAGGTTATAAAGATATAAAGATTTAAAGATATAAAGTTGTGGTTTTTTGTTTGTTTTGTTTTGGTTTGGTTTGGTTTTTGAGACAGAGTCTCGCCCTCCTGCCAGACTGGAGTATAGTGGTACTATCTCAGCTCACTGCAACCTCTGCCTCCTGGATTCAAGTGATTCTCCTGCCTCGGCCTCCCAAGTAGCTGGGACCTCAGGCGTGTGCCACCACACCCAGCTAATTTTTGTATTTTTAGTAGAGACAGAGTTTCACCATGTTGGCCAGGATGGTCTCGATCTCTTGACCTTGTGATCCGCCCACCTCAGCCTCCCAAAGTGCTGAGATTACAGGCATGAGCCACCGCACCCAACCATTGTTTTTCTGGTTTTTTGTTTTGAGACAGTTTCACTCTTGTTGCCTAAGCTGGAGTGAAATGGCGCAGTCTTGGCTCCCTGCAACCTCCACCTCCCAGGTTCAAGTGATTCTCCTGTCTCAGCCACCTGAGTAGCTGGGATTACATGTGCCCACCACCATGCCTGGGTAACTTTTTTTTTTTTTTTTTTAAAGTAGAGATGGTGTTTCACCATGTTGGCCCGGCTGGTTTTGAACTCCTGACCTCAGGTGATCCACCCTCCTTGGCCTCCCAAAGTGCTGAGATTACAGATGTGAGCCACCATGTCTGACCAAAATAAAGATTTGTGGTGTTGTTTAACTCTTCTGTGTCTTTATAGATTTATTTTTAAGGAGGGACAGTTTGAACTATCTGTGCAATACTTGAAGAGATGATTTTTACATCTTCTGTATTCATGGTGGATTGTTCCATATCTACTAAGTTTTGTAGCACTTACTTTCTATATTTTAGCCTACTGTTAAAATACGTGCAAGGTTAGAATTTTTATAATTTTATCAGTTCACAGGGAAACTCTCACCCTCATCTCCAATTCCTGGATTATTTTGAAGCAAATCCTGGTCATCATATTTCATCTGTAAAACCTAATATTTACTATATTTTAATCTATTTCATTTAATATTAGTATTAGTTCCTAAGATTTTTTTTGGTAACTGTAACCCTCATTTAACTTTCCTTATTTCATAGCATGTATATTTTGAGTTTACATCCTATAATACTTTCTTCCCTACAGCATTTTTTTGTGAAGCAAATGTTGAACAGTTATATTTGTGTGCATACTAAGAAGTTGAAAGGCTTATGGAATGAATACTCTGACAACCTATCACCTACAGTCAACATGTAGCTTTGTGCTCCTTATTCTTTATTGCTTATTTACCCAGCTGTGTATTGCTCTCTCCATCCTTGAGTCCATCTTCCTTTTGATGCTGTTTAATATTGCAGACATTATTACCCTTTACTCATAAACATTCAGCATGCTTATCAATAAGTAGTATTATAATGTTTCTTTGTAGTTCTTTTTAGGATTTATGTATTGTAAGATGCATAAATCTTAAGTGTAACATTTGATGAGCTTTGACGGATGCATAACTTAGTGTAATCTGGACCTCTATGACAACACAGAACAATTACTCTCTTCCTAGAAGTGTTTTGTGCCTTTTTCCAGTCATTTCCCACTCCCAGTACACCAGAGAAAATTACTATTCTGATTTTGTTCAATACGCCTTAATTTCATCTGTCTTAGAACTTCATGTAAGTGGAATTACACAGTATACTCTCCATCAGAAGATTAGCAGGTTGATTTTTTGTATGGTTGTTGTTGACTCTGTCCCATTGTCTGCAAAAAAAGCAGTTTCATATAGACTGCGGAGTTCTTTCCCATTCCTTGCTTCCCACCACCCCATAAAAAATGTGGGCACATCCACGGAGAAATTTGGAGCTGGCTTCACTGAGTTTTCACATGCATGAGGTCTCTGCTTTGGAATTTATGATTGGTGCCACTCCCTCAGTTTGCATAGGTTGTAAGACACTCCTTTCTTAATCATCTCAAGTATTATAGAAATGACAAAATACCATGGACTGGGAGGGTTAAACAGCAGACATTTATTTCTTACTGTTCAGTGCAGGTATGAGAAGCTGGGATGTATGTGGGTAGGCCTGAAATAACATTACTGTAAGTTACCCTGTAACTTTACAGAATCAGCAAACTTTGATTATCTGAGTAACCAGAAAAATTAAAATTATATAAATGATGTAGGAAAGCTCATATAATCATATATCTGATCAGTTTTGGAATATTTTTCCTGAATAATAAGCACATTGACTGTCATATGAACCAGCAGTATCTTCTATCGGTTTGCTATTTCTATTTTCACTTTAATTTTTCCTTTCTTAATGTGAATATTCATTTTTCTGTATTAAAAAAGAGAATTATTTATTATTCTCCATTTATATATAAATATTTCCCCTTCATAGATGGCTACTATTAATGTTTGTATTAGTTTTGGGGGGATTCTTTTTTTGTTGATACATAATAATTGTACATTATTTATGGGGTAGATGGGATATTTTCATACATGCATACCATATGTAATGATCAAATCAGGATATCCATAGCCTCAAATATTTATCATTTCTCTACATTGTCAATTTTTTTCTATTCTGAAATATAAATTACTGTTAACTATAGTCACCCTACTGTGCTATCAAATACTTATTTCTTCTAACTGTATTTTTGTACCCAGAATCAACCGCTCTTTGTTCTCCCTTCCTTCTCTTTTTCCTAGCCTCTGCTCCCATGTATGAGTGACAACATGCAATATTTGGCTTTCTGTGCCTGGTTATTTCACCTAATTTAGTGAACTCCAGTTCTAATGATATCGCTATAAATGATAGAATTTTATTTTTCTTTATGGTTGACTAACATTCTATTATATATATGTACTATATTTTCTTTATCCATTCAACAATTGGTGGACATTTAGGTTAATTCCATTATCTAGGCTATTATGAATGCTAATGTTAACATGGTGGTGCAGATATCCTTTTGCCATACTGATTTCCTTTCCCTTGGATAATTATGAAGTAGTGGAATTACTGGATTGCATCATAGTTCTATTTGTAAGTTTGGTGTGGTTTTTTTTCTCATTTTTGTTTATTTTGCATTTGTGTTTTCTTTTTTTATTATTATTATACTTTAAGTTCTGGGGTACATGTGAAAATGGGAGGAAATTTTTGCAATCTACTCATCTGACAAAGGACTAATATCCAGAATCTACTGAGAACTTAAACAAATTTACAAGAAAAAAAGCAACCCCATCAAAAAGTGGCCAAAGTATATAAACTGACACATCTCAAAAGAAGACATTAATGCAGCCAACAAACATGAAAAAAAGTTCATCATCACTGGTCGTTAGAGAAATGCAAATCAAAACCACAATGAGATACTATCTTGTGCCAGTTAGAATGGTGATCATTTAAAAGTTAGGAGACAGCAGATGCTGAAGATGATGTGGAAAAATAGGAACATTTTTACACTGTGAGTGGGAGTATGAATTAGTTCAACCATTTTGGAAGACAGTGTGGCGATTCCTCAAGGATCTAGAAATAGAAATACCATTTGACCCAGCAATCCCATTACTAGGTATATACCCAAATGTTTATAGATCATTCTGTTATAAAGATATATGCACACGTATGTTTATTGCAGCACTGTTCTCAGTAGCAAAGACTTGGAACCAACCCAAATGCCCATCAATGATAGACTGGATAAAGAAAATATGGCACATATACACTATGGAATACTATGCGGCCATAAAAAAGGATGAGTTCCTGTCCTTTGCAGGGACATGGATAAAGCTGGAAATCGTCATTCTCAGCAAACTAACACAAGAACAGAAAAACCAAACCCCACACATTCTCACCCAGTAAGTGGGAATTGAACAATGAGAATACATGGACACAGGGAGGGGAAATATTTGTCATTTTTTAAGGAACCTCCATACCATTTTCCCTAATGGCTATACTAATTATATACCAATACTGTATAATTATTGCCTTTTTTCTGCATCTTTGCCATTATTTGTTATTTTTTGTCTTTTTTATATTAGCCATCCTAATTGGGGTAAGAGGATCTCTCAAGTGTGATTTGCATTTCCCTGATGATTGGTGGTGATGAGCATTTTTTCATATATCAGTTGCCCATTTGTATGTCTTCTTTTGTGAAATGTCTATTCAGATCCTTTTCCCACTTTTTAGTTGGATTATTTTGTTGTTGTTGTGTTTGACTTCTTATATATTATGTATATTAGTCCCTTGTAAGATGAATAGTTTGCAGATACTTCCTCCAATTCTACATGCTGTATCTTCACTGTTGATACTTTCCTTTGCTGTGCAGAAGCTTTTTAGTTTGATGTAGTCTGGTGTGTATTTTTGCCTTTGTTGCCTGTGATTTTGAAGTCTTAGCCATAAAACATGGCTAGTCTAGTCCAGTGTCCTAAAGCAGTTCTCCTGTGTTTCTTCAAAATGTTTTATAATTTTGGAACTCATGTTTAAGTATTTAATCTATTTTGAGTTTATTTTTGTATATTATGAGAGACAAGCAGTCTAATTTCATTCTTATTCATTTTAGAATTCACTTTTTCTAACACCATTTAAAGATACTGTCCTTTCCCTAAGGTGTGTTTTTAGTGCCTTTGTCAAAAATCAGTTGGCTGTAAATACATGGATTTACTTCTAGGTTATCTATTCTCTTCTATTGGTGTATGTGTATTTCCTTTTTGTTTTTGTTTTTATGGACAGGGTCTTGCTCTGTCCACATGGGCAGGAGTGCAGTGGTGCCATCATAGCTTACTGCAGCCTCTAACTCCTTGGCTCAAGTGATTCTCCTGTCTCAAATTCCAAGTAGCTAGGACTACAGGCATGTGCCACCACGCCCAGCTAATTTTTTAAAATATTTTGTAATGATGGGGTCTTGCTGTGTTGCCCAAGCTTGACTCAAACTCCTAGCCTCAAGCAATCCACCTTCCTCAGTCTCTCAGAGCACTGGGATTACAGGTGTGAGCCACTGTGCCTGGCCAGTGTCTGTTTTTAGACCAACACTGTAACCGGGGGACAGGAGCAAGTTGCAGGGGTGTCCCAAAGATGCTAATTGTTCCACGATCGGATGTGTTTTTTTCCAGATCCTTGGGCTCTCACTTACCCAAGAATGGGGAGGAGACCTTGGCAGTGCAGTGATATTGTTCAAGTAAATATCAGACCCAAAGAGTTTGGCAGAAAGGTATTAAGCAGAGAGAGAGAAAAAGAGAAATAGAGAAAGAAAGAACTCCCACACTGTTGTGTGAGGGGATCCAGAGATGGAGTCTGCACAGGTAAAGAAAGAGAGAGAGAGAAGGCTCCCACGTGGCCCGTGGAAGGGGATACCAGAGAGGGAAATCCTATAGGTAAAGGAGTAGGGGGAATTTAACCCCAGAGTTACCCCCGCCCCATTCAAGTTCTCATCCAGTGAAAGGAGTTTTTCCAAACTTCCTCTGGAGTGATTGATCTTCAACTCTGATGCTGGATTGGCTGCCTGGCTCACAAGAGAGCCCCTCCTTCCAAGGCTTTTGGCAGGCTTTCTAAACAAAGGAAGCTCACCTGGGCTGTCTACCCTTCCCGTACATGGGAAAGTTAGACAAAGAACTCTAGTTCCTTGATGGGGATGTGAATGAATGCAGGTCGGGCATGTCACTGGAAAATTTCTGCCTTTGAAACCACCCCCACTTGTGGACCCAGGAAGAGAAGTTAACATAGTCCCTCAATATCATGCTCTTTTGGTGACACTAGCTTTGTATTATATTTTGAAGTGAGGTAGTATGATGCCTCCCACTTTGTTCCTTATATTCACTATTGCTTTGCTTATTGGAGGTCTTTTCAGTTCCTTATGAATTCTAGAAGTATTTTTTCTATTTTTATAAAGAACGTCACTGGTATTTTAATAGGTATTGCAGTGAATCTTTAGATTGCTTTGATCAGTATGGTCATCTCAACAGTATTATTTTCTCCATGAACATGGGATGTCTTTTCATTTGTTTGTGTCCTCATTTATTTCTTTCATCACTATTTTGTTTTTATTATAGAGAACATTGAATTTGGGGTTAAGTTTATTCATATACTTTTTTGTATCAATTATAAATGAGATTGCTTTCTTGATTTCTTTTTCAGCTGGTTATTATTGGCATATAGAAACACTACTGATTTTTCTTCTGATTTCATATTGTGCAGCTTTATTGAATTCATTCATCATTTCAGAGTGTTTAGGTTTTCTACATGTAAGATTATGTCATCTGCAAAAAGAAACAATTTGACTTCAGTTTTCCAGTTCAGATGCCTTTTATTTCTTTTTCTTGCCTTATTTCTTTCTCTTACCATAGTTCTGACTAGGACTTCCAGAACTATGGTAATAAGAGTGGTGAAAGTAGACATTCAAATCTCCCAGTTCTCAGAGGAAAGGCTTTTATCTTTTCCTCATTCACTAAGAAGTTTGCTGTGGGTTTGGAACATGTTGTTTATATTATGTTGAGATATGTTGCCTGTACACCTGATTTGTTAAGAGTTTTTATCATTGGCTGGGTGCAGTGGCTCATGCCTATAATCTCAGCACTTTAAGAGACAAGGTGATCAGATTGCTTGAGCTCAAGAATTCGAGACCAGCCTGGACAACATCATGAAACCACATCTCTACAAAAAATACAAAAATCAGCCAGGCAATGGCAACTGTGGCTTAACTACAGGCAGGCACCTGTAACTCAGCTATTCAGGAAGCTGAGGTGGGAGGATCATTTAAGCCTGGGAGGTCAAGGCTGCAGTGAGCCATGATCACGCCACTGCACTCCAGCCTGAGCAACAGCGTGAGACCATGTCTTAAAAAAATAAAAGTTTATATCCTAGTCAGATTTTGAATTGTATCAAATCTTTTTCTGTATCTGTTGAGATGATCATATATCTTTTGCTCCTTCACTGTGTTGATGTGATGTATCACAAGTATTGATCTGTGTATGTTGAACCATCATTGCATACCCGGGATAAATCTCACTTGATTGTGGTGTATTGTCTTTTCTGTATTGTTGGATTTGGTTTGCTAGTATTTTGTTGAGGATTTTTCCATTAATGGTCATCAGGGTTATTGGCTAGTAGTTCTGTGTTTTTGCTATGTCCTCGTCTGGTTTTAGTATCAGGATAAAGCTAGCCTTGTAAAATGAGTTAGAAAGAATTCCGCCCCCTCTCAATTTTTTGGAATAGTTTGAGAAGAATTGGTGTTTGTTGTTCTTAAGAGTTTGCTAGAAGCAAGCAGTAAAGCAATTTGGTCTTAGGCTTTTCTTTGATTGAAGGCTTTTCATTACTGATTCTGTCTCATTATTGGTATCTTCTCCAGGAATATATGCAGAATGTGTCCTGCCACCCAAGAATCTTGGACTAGCACACCAGAGGCAACACCAACTACAATTTTCTGATCAAAGCTGCCAGAGTGACACAGTTGAAGGTCAAGAGAAAGAAAAAGGCTCTAAGCCCATGGCATTTTCCAGCCCAACCCTAAGACATGCAGTAAGCTCAAGGAGGAGGAATAGTGTAGTGGAAATTGTGTCTAGTCAAGGCCAGAGGGAAAATCCTACAGAAATAGACAAAGTATTGAAAGGAATAGAAAATTCAAGATGGGGAGCATTCAAGTGTGCAGAGGGTGGGCAAGACTTCAGCCAGAAGATAATAGTAATCATACACAAAAAAGCACATTCCAGGCAGAAGCTTTTTACATGCAGGGAGTGTCACCAGGGCTTTAGAGATGAGTCAGCATTGCTCTTGCACCAGAAGACACACACGGGAGAGAAGTCCTATTTGTGCAGTGAGTGTGGGCGAGGCTTCAGCCTCAAGGCAAATCTCCTCAGACACCAGAGGACACACTCAGGAGAGAAGCCTTTTCTGTGCAAGGTGTGTGGACGAGGCTATACCAGTAAGTCATACCTCACTGTGCATGAAAGAACACACACAGGAGAAAAGCCTTATGGATGCCAGGAGTGTGGGCGACGATTTAATGATAAGTCCTCATACAACAAGCACTTGAAGGCGCATTCAGGGGAGAAGCCTTTTGTTTGCAAGGAGTGTGGGCGAGGCTATACCAATAAGTCATACTTCGTTGTGCACAAGAGAATACACTCAGGAGAGAAGCCTTACAGATGCCAGGAGTGTGGCCGAGGCTTTAGCAATAAGTCACACCTCATCACACACCAGAGGACACACTCAGGGGAGAAGCCCTTCGCGTGCAGGCAGTGTGAGCAAAGTTTTAGCGTGAAAGGAAGTCTCCTCAGACACCAGAGAACACACTCAGGGGAGAAGCCTTTTTTGTGCAAGGATTGTGGGCGAAGCTTTAGCCAGAAGTCAACTCTCGTCTACCACCAGAGAACACATTCAGGGGAGAAACCTTTTGTTTGTAGAGAATGTGGGCAAGGATTTATTCAGAAGTCAACTCTTGTGAAACATGAGATCACACACTCAGAGGAGAAACCTTTTGTGTGCAAGGAATGTGGGCGAGGCTTTATCCAAAAGTCAACCTTCACTTTACACCAGAGGACACACTCAGAGGAGAAGCCTTATGGATGTCGGGAGTGTGGGCGAAGGTTTCGAGATAAGTCCTCCTATAACAAGCACCTGAGGGCACACTTGGGTGAGAAACGTTTCTTCTGCAGGGATTGTGGGCGAGGCTTTACTTTGAAGCCAAATCTCACCATACATCAAAGGACACACTCAGGAGAGAAGCCCTTCATGTGCAAGCAGTGTGAGAAAAGTTTTAGTTTGAAGGCAAATCTTCTTAGACATCAGTGGACACACTCAGGGGAAAGGCCATTTAATTGCAAGGATTGCGGGCGAGGCTTCATCCTAAAATCAACTCTTCTCTTCCACCAGAAGACGCACTCGGGGGAGAAGCCTTTCATCTGTAGTGAATGTGGGCAAGGATTCATCTGGAAGTCAAACCTTGTAAAACACCAGCTTGCACATTCTGGCAAGCAGCCTTTTGTATGCAAGGAGTGTGGGCGAGGCTTCAATTGGAAGGGAAACCTTCTCACACACCAGAGGACTCACTCAGGGGAGAAGCCCTTCATGTGTAATGTGTGTGGGCAAGGCTTCAGCTGGAAGAGGAGTCTCACCAGACATCACTGGCGGATACACTCAAAGGAGAAGCCTTTTGTGTGCAAGGAGTGTAAGCGAGGCTATACCAGTAAGTCAGATCTCACTGTGCATGAGAGAATACACACAGGAGAGAGGCCTTATGAATGCCAAGAGTGTGGACGAAAGTTTAGCAATAAGTCATACTACAGTAAGCACTTGAAGAGACACATACGTGAGAAGCGTTTTTGTACAGGGAGTGTGGGTGAGGCGTCATCTTGAAGTCATATCTCACCAGCCAGTGAGGCCACATTCAGGAGGGTAACATTACTTTGTTACATGCTTTAGTCATGGCTGCATAACTTATTCCTGAAGATAAAACAAAGGCAGACATAATCTAGAAAGCTACAGATAACCTGAACTCAACCCACACATCCCCAAGAGATTCGGCAAAAAGAGGTCCATGTTTGGGGAACAGAGATGCCAGCTGAGGGGAGGGCATTACCTGGGCTATTGAGGAAATGTGGTCTCTTTCCTACTGAGCACATATTATTGTATTTGTGTCAGGCTTTCCAAGGACTGCTCTTAGCCAGTGACTGCAAAGCAGGGATACCAAGGGAGGCCTATTACTGACACCCTCCCCAACCTCCTTAGACTGCAAGCAATTTAAGCCTCCAACAAACCTCCTCTTGTACTGTCCTTCCCTCTGGCTGCTCTCCCATCCTTCCTTGACACTATGGTTTGAATGTTTTTGTCCCCTCCTTAATTTATGTCGAAACTCTACATAAACTGTTTACTGTTGAAACAGTGTCACAGTATTAGGAGGTGGGGCCTTTGGGAAGTGATTAAGTCAAGTCATGAAGAGAGCTTTTGTGAATGGGATCAGGTGCTCTTATGAAAAGCCTTGATAGAGGGAATTTGTCCCTGTGGCCCTTCTATTTTCTGCTCTGTGAGGACATAATGCTCCTCCCCTCCAAAAGGTGCAGCATGAAGGCATCATCTTGGAAACAAACATAATCCCTCAACATAATCCCTCCCTACCGATGTTATGATGTTGAACTTCCCAGCCTCCCGAACTCTAGGAAAATAAAGTTCTCTTTATACATTTCCTGGTAAGTGGTATTTTGTTACAACAGCTCACATAGACTAAGTAACTTGTCCCCTCAACATTCTCTCACATACAGTCTCTGTACATGGAGTCTCATATTGGTCTTTGCAGAGAACTCCCTCCAACCCAACTGATACCAAGAACAGTCTGACAAAACAGGTGGTAAAATAGGGATCTGGGGACCACTCACCTGCCTGGCAGGAGTAGAGCAGGTTGGCTGGTGGGGCACAGGTAGGTGGTTAGCTGCAAAATATTTCACAGGTGATTTCCTGAGAAAATGCCTCAATGATAGGGAATGCTGTGGAAGACATGATGAAGCAGGTCTTTGAAAATGTAGGGAAAATGCCTACAAAGAGCAGAATAGACTGATTATTGCTGATCTGCATTACTACCTACAGAAGGACCCTGAGAAACTGAAGACTTCATTCAGTCATTAGCATACAGTTAATGGCTAAGTAAACCAGAATTCCTTGGTGAGTGCTTACAAGGCCTTTATCTCCTTGGATAGAAGGCAGAATCATTGCCCAAATATGTGGACTGAAGGCCTTGAAGTGAGAGTTGCAGAGCTCTACAAGGATGTTGGAATGCTCAGCCAATGCATGTCTATTTTGTAAAGGTCAGACCTTTTGTGAGGAAACTTTGGGATCCTGAAAAATGATACAAACATCTCCATGGATGCCCAAGGATTGCCTCTGCCATGCTCCCAGCCACAGACCATCTGGGTGTGTAGAGGTGGCCCATCCTTCCTTATTGATAGCATTTCCACCATTCATTACCACAGAACCTTCACAGTTAAGGCCAGCTTAATGAGCATGTGACATAAATAGCTGCACACAACCCTTTGTCCAGAGCAGGGGAGATAACACATGATAGGCCTATCCTTTTTTAAGTGGTATTTTTGATGCATACCCTTCAACTTCCATAACTTCCCTCATATTCACTCTGAGTTTCACTGCACATTGTGGGTTCACTGGAATTCTGTGCTCCTCTTCCATATTAAACATATTTACATGTGAGTAATTAGGGACTTTGACATCCCCAAGAAATACCACTGTTCATTTGGACCTAGAATTTGATTTGAACTCAGAAAGAAGACAACATCCTAAGCATAAACAGCCAAGGAGCCCTGTCAACGCATTTTCTGCTCAAGTTCCTTATATTAGCCAACCACTTGTGTTGAAAATTATCACACAGAAGGGATTGGAAACATAAAACAACTCATAACTACTTTTTCTCTGTTTCTTACTCAATCTGAAGTTAAAGTGCACTGATAGAATGTGCATATGGAGAAGCAAAGTAAAGCAGTTGAATTAGACACCAGAAACAGTAGTTCATGCCTATAATCACAACATTTTGGGACGCCAAGGTGGGTGGATCGCTTGAGCACATGAGTTCAAGACCAGCCTGGCCAACGCGGCAAAAGCCTGTCTCTACAAAAAATTAGCCACGTGTGGTAGGACATGCCTGTAGTCTGAGCTACTTGGGAGGCTGAGAAGGGAGGATCATCTGAAGCCTGGGAAGTTGAGGCTGCAGTGAGCTGTGATTGTGCCACTGTACTCAAGCTTGGGCAACAGAGGGAGACCTTGTATAAAAACAAAAAACAAAAGGTTGAATTAGTTTCTGCAACATTTCTAAAGTTCTAAAAAACATCCTAATAGAAGGAACAGAGTTGGAATTACATCATTTCACTAGTGGTGCTGATTTAAATGGGCAATGTACAATATAATGATGGACAAGAAAGGTGTGTGGGGGGGGAAGGGAGGAGGGAGGGAGGGAGGGAGAGATGGAGTCTCGCTCTGTCACTCAGGCTGGACTGCAGTGGTGCAATCTCAGCTCACTGCAACCTTTGCTTCCCGGGTTCAAGTAATTCTCCTGCCTCAGCCTCCCAAGTAGCTGAGACTACAGGTGCACACTACCATGCCCAGTTAAGTTTTGTATTTTTAGTAGAGATGAGGTTTCACCATATTGGCCAGACCAGTCTCGAACTCCTGACCTCCTGATCTACCTGCCTCGGCCTCCCAAAGTGCTGGGATTACAGGTGTGAGCTACAGTGCCCAGCCTTATATATATTATTTAAAACACCTAAGCAAGAGGAAAGGACCACAGAAGAAAAGAAACTTTAAGTTATTTTATGGCATGTTTTCCTCTACCTTTTGAACAAAGACCCCCATATTTTCATTTTGTACTATACCTGCAAATTATGTAGCTTACCCTTTTATCACAAGGGAATAGGTGCTGCTCACCTAGGAGCTGGCCCAACCTCCTCTCCCAGCGACCAGGACAGTAATTATGATTATATCTAAGTATAACCCCATGCACAAGAGTTGGTCTAGATAAAGGAGGAAATACCTAAAGAATTGCCAAGAACTACCCAGCATGTATCAGCAGAAAGTTGAGTCCCTAATATGGCATTATTCCTCAAGAAAATAAACTCCTTGCTTGGGGACAAATTGACTACATCAGCCTCCTTCCAGCCTCTAAAAAAACAGTTGTTCAACCTCACAGGGATAAATACCTATTCCAAACATGAATTTGCCTTCCTAGTCCTATAAGGCTCAGTCAGCACTATTATTCATGCATGATCCAAAGACATGAAATACCAAGTAATATAACATCCAACCCAGGAGATTCACTTCATAGTAAAAATGCTACCAGAGTGTAAGAGTAGATAACAACTGTAAATATATATATATATACACCTAACAACAGAGCACTGAGAGACATAAAGCAAATAGTATTCACTATAAAAAGAAAGATTCCAATGCAATAATCATTGAGGACTTCAACATTCCACTGTTAGCATTGGACAGCTCATCCAAACAGAAACTCAACAAACATTAGATTTAAACTGCACTTTATACCAAATGGACCTAACAGCCATTTTCAGAATCTTTCTTCCAACAGCTGTAAAACACACATTCTTCTCAGACAGGGTCTTGCTCTATCATCCAGGCAGGAGTGCAGTGCTGTAATCATAGCTCACTGCAGCCTTAAACTCCTACACTCAGATGATCCCCTCTTCACCTTCCCAAGTAGGTAGAACTATAGGTGCACACCACAATGCCTAGCTAATTTTCACTATGTGAGACAATCTCTCACTATGTTGCCCAGTCTGGTCTCAAACTCCTGTTCTCAAGCGATCCTCCCACTTGAGGACCCTCAGCTTCTGAAAGCACTAGGATTATAGGCGTGAACCACCAAGCCTGGCCTCAACAAATTTTAAAAAATTGAAATCACATCTAGTATCTTCTCAAATAACAATGGAATAAAACTAGAAATCAATAATGAGGAACTACAGAAACTGTACAGGTACATGGAAATTAAACAACATATTCCTGAATGATGGTCAATGAAGAAATTAAGAAACTAAAAACATTTCTTCAAGTAAAAAATATTGGAAATTCACGTCTTAAAACCTATGGGATACAACAGAAGCATTGCCATATGGGAGGTTTATAACAATAAATACCTAGATTTAAAAGCAGAAAGACTTCAAATAAGCTAATGAGATACCTCAAGGAAAGAAAAAGCAAACCCCTAATTAGTAAAACAAAGACATAATAAAGATCAGAGCAGAATAAAACAAAACAGAGACAAAATCTGCAAGAAAACAATAACAGGAAAAGTTTAAAAAAAAAAAAAGATAAAGAAAATCAGTAAACTGCTAGCCAGACTAGACACGAATAAAAAGACTCAAATAAATAGAAATGAAAAAGGAAACATTACAACTGATTCCACAAAAATGCAAAGGATCACTAGAGACTCTTATGAACAACTACACATTAACAAAGTGGAAAACGTAGAGGAAATTAATAAATTCCTATATGAATTTTACATAATAAAACTGAGTCATGAAATATAGGACATTCCAGATACAGTGGCTTCACTAGGTGGTATGTTCTCTTGGCAGCTACCAGGGCCCTCACCACTCCCATTGGAATTCTGGGGCCAGGCTTCACTTCTTCAAGCAGCACCAGATGCTCTGAGACTTTCTATATATATATATATAATTGCACTATAGGTTCTGGGGTACATGTGTAGATCACACAGGATTGTTGCATAGGTACATACATGGCAATGTAGTTTGCTGCCTGTATCCCCTTGTCACCTATATCTGGTAGTTCTCCCCATGTTATCCCTCCCCAAACTCCCTAAACTCTGCTGTCCCTCCCCTATTCCCCCCACAACAGACCCCAGTGTGTGATGCTCCCCTCCCTGTATCTATGTGTTTTCATTGTTCAACATCCACCTATGAGTGAAAACATGCAGTGTTTGATTTTCTGTTCTTCTGTCACTTTGCTGAGAATGACGGTTTCCAGATTCATCCATGTCCCTACAAAGGACAAGAACTAATAGTTTTTTATGACTGCATAGTATTCCATGGTGTATATGTGCCACATTTTCCCTGTCCAGTTTATCATTGATGGGCATTTGGATTGGTTCCAGGTATTTACTTTTGTAAACAGTGCTGCAATGAACATTCATGTGCATGTGTCTTTATAATAAAAGGATTTAAAATCCTTTGGATATATACCCAGAAATGGGATTGCTGGGTCAAATGGAGTTTCTATTTCTAGGTCCTTGAGGAATCACCACACTGTCTTCCACAATGGTTGAACTAATTTACACTCCCAATAACAGTGTAAAAGTGTTCCTATTTCTCCACATCCTCTCCAGCATCTGTTGTCTCCAGAATTTTTAATGTTTGCCATTCTAACTGATGTGAGATGGTATCTCAATGTGGTTTTGATTTGCATTTCTCTAATGACCAGTGATGATGAGTATTTTTTATATGTTTTTTGGCCTCGTATATGTCTTCTTTTGAAATGTGTCTGTTCATATCCTTCGCCCACTTTTGAATGGGTTTGTTTTTTTCTTGTAAATCTGTTTTAGTTCTTTGTAGATTCTGGATATTATCCCTTTGTCAAATGGGTAGATTGCAAAAATTTTTTCTCATTCTGTTGGTTGCTGGTTCACTCTAATGATTGTTTCTTTTG